GGCTCCCCGCTGGATCCACGTCCTCTATCCTTCAACAATGATGTCGGAGAGAGATTGTGCGAATGCAAAAACTGGCAGGAGTATCGGTTCCCATGCTCACATGCATTTGCACACTTACGGGAGAGGGGAATGGATCCTATACCCTTGATTTCCAGGAATTGGAAGGCCGACAACTGGAAGAGGACTTATGGGTCTCTCATTCCGTATTCGTGTGTAGACACGGTTATTGCTGAAAACGAGCCAGTTGAGGAGGGAGTTTGTGATCCTCCTATTTTTGTGCAGAGAGGAGCAGGGCGGCCACAATCAAACCGAAGGCATGAAGCCCCTAAACAGAGATACAAGTGCGGTGACTGTGGCTCGACGGAGCATACCCGGAAGAAATGTAAGGGGAAATATGGGGGGTCAGGTGTGTATCACGTAGCAAACTAGTGGTACGGGGATAGTTTGATTGCTGAATATTAACTACTGCATAAGAATCTTAGGGAATGTGGTACGTTGCATGCTCTTTGCTACTAGGAGAAAAGGAGCAACGAATTGCCATTAGTTGAAGATATATGAAACTCCATATGACCGGCCATAAACATTACTGCCCTTGACCAGTAGTACGCACACGCGCAATCCACCGGCCGTATTCACACGTGCAAATGACGGGGCAAATGCAGACGCACATATGACCGGTCATATTTGCACGCGCATATGACCGGTCATATACTCACGTGCACAAGACAGGTAGTTAACGGACGAGCATATTACCGGACCACTGGCCGGATTTAGGGTACGATGTTACCACGCGAGCCCGACGTTACGTGCCAAGGACGGATGCAGATTAGATTAACAATGTTGACAACCATTAATACAAACAGTGCGTTTTGAGGTCTACTTTCCATCATATGATTTTGTAAGGCGAAATTAGGGTTCACGACAATAAGGACATTGCATATCTGTGCATCGGAATAGACATATTGTATACACGGATGAAACATAGTTTGAGTGGAGTGTAAGTAGCAAGATGTTAGAAGAACCTGATAGTCGTTAATCTCGTGTCCCTCACATCAATACACCACAACCCTAAACATACTACCACCCGGGACAGCCCATGTAACACACTCATGGGTAATATTAAATCCTTTAGATACAGTACTGTCAAGAACGGAATGGTGGTTCGACTAAGGTTGGTTGGGGTGCGTAAACCTAACCCAGACTGTTATACCCCATGTAACAACCCTCAGGTAAAAATATATCATATGACGATACCGTTCACGTATCCACACTTCCATTTTTGGCCATATCCATGTTAACAGGAATGGAGTGTTGGCCCCGCCCTCGCTTGGGCAACGCCGGCGACTTGGTCGGATGTACGGGAGTAGCAACCGACCGTTCACAGTGGAGAGCTGCTCGACAGGCTTCGTCGAGCTGCAGGGGACCGCTGTGGTGTTGCTGTCGACCAGGGAGCTCGACAGCTGCAACTGACTGGTCTGGGCGACGGGCGGGACGTCGACCAGGACCTACAGCTCGACCGGGAGGTCTCCGGAGCATCTCGTCGACCTGCCGTTCGACCGGGAGTTTCCTACTTGTACCCATCTCCTTGCTAGTTCAACCACTCATTGTTTTGTCATTTTCACACACATTGCGTGGATGTCGCGCATTTGGAAACTAATGTTGTATGTTTCTAAAACATTGTTGTTGTGCTAAATCAATTGCAATTTATTTGAGTTACAAGTATTGTACATACACAATTACGTATCGTTATCAGGCCTTTTAAGGCGCGCTGACGCGCCTTTTTAAATAGCGTATGGCGCTTTATGACTGGCCATATAAGGCGTGCATAAGACCGGTCATGCAGGAACGCGCATTGCACTGGTCGAATTGCACGTGTAATTGCCCGGTCAATTACTGGGTGGATTTCATTGGTCGAAGATACTGTCGGAAATGGTTGGCAATCCAACCCTCGTATGGACTTCTGAAGAGATGCGTGTTCACTCTGTGCCGGGGTCCGACAGTCTGACATTTGGGCTCGCACGTAACAGCGCAACCATGAGTGTCGTGCCTCATGTTGTTTTCGCGAGTTGAAAATAACACATTCGTACAAATTAAGATCGCTCACGAAATCGAGTTACCATCGATTCGAACGCGAGCTACAGAAATGATCCGCATCCATTTAGCTAACCTGAACCACGGCGTGTTTCACCCGATCAATTTCAAGCTGATCGTGTTCCTATCTCTGAGTCACACAGCACAGAAAATTAGGGTTCGCGTTGTAGTAACGCTACTATAGCTCCTAGGTCTTAGTCCGGGTCAGCTCTACCTAGCATCACCTCGTAATTACATATCACAGCTGCGGACGGCGCGTTGCATATCGTTACTATGACAAGTCGCGCCGCTCGAGGTAGGAAGGCCGCGAAAAACACCCGTGATGACACACCGGCGGGGAAACTCTCGCGAAAACGGGAAAATGCGTCACAACCCGACGTAGAGTCTGGCGAGGATGACGGGCGTCGTCGAAGCGATAGGCTGGAGTTGGCGCATGCACACGATTCGTCTACCAAAGAGCAGTGCGCCACGACTCTTGAGCCGGTGGTATTGAATAAGGTAGCCCCTCACGATTACGGTGTGGAGCCCCCGTTTGACTCACCGTTGGTACACTCTCCGTCGGACGACCTTATCGCAAAAATCACGGCAGATGTTAAAATCCTGTTTCTAGATACTCATGAGGAGACTAGAGCTACTGCTGTGAAAATGAAGAACGAGAATGAGTGAACTATGAAATGAAGTGAGTACAAATAGGAAACCCTAATTGGGTTGTACCCCTTATGGGATACCCCACTATAGCCTACACAACAGCATAAGCTATATAATGTTCTGACACACCCCCATAGGCAAAGTGGGGGAGAACAAGGGGTCACAAGACCAGTCAAGCAAAGCAGAGCAAGCTCAGGGTGGATCACAAAGTCACCACACAGTCCGAGCACAACGACAAGGCCACAAGGCCAGTTCACATGCAGGAGTACACATATATATATAGAGCTAGACAAGCAAGAGCAGGTATATATATGTAACAGTACAAGCAAGGTCAAGAAGAGAGCAAGTGAGGCAAGACAGGTACAAGACCCAGCTGGGTGCAGAAGCGCTGATGGTCACAAGGCGCAAGTGCCTTGGTGAACACATCAGCAGTGTTGGCCTCAGAGGCCACGTAAGCAAGTCGCAACTGACCACGCTGCTGCAGCTCACGAGCAAGAAAGTAACGGAGAGCAATGTGCTTCGTTCTGTGCTCCAAGCGCTGCTCTCGACACAAGGCCAGCATGGCCTTGTTGTCTACGTACAGCACTGGAGGAGAACGAGGCGGCTCTCCAAGGTCAGTCAGCAGGTAGGTGAGCCAGCGAAGCTCCTGTGCAGCCATGGCCCCGGCGTAGATCTCAGCCTCACAACTGGAGCTGAGAACAGAGGACGAGCGAGTAGCCCGCCACGAGACAGAGCCGGAACCAAGACTGAAGGTGTAACCCTGCGACGACCGCTGTGTAGCCTGGTCGTCTGCCCAAGAAGCGTCCGCGTGCCCAGTGAGGACCACTGGACTCCGCCCTCCAAGCACTAGCCCCATGCCCGACGTACTGCACAAGTAGCGCAACACCCTCTTAGCTGCAGCCATGTGCTCTGGTCGGTGTCTCCCAGGAGCAACATAGCGTGCAAGAATGCTAAGAGGGTATGCAAGGTCAGGTCGTGTGCAGGTCATCAGGTACATGAGGCAGCCAACAAGCTCTGGGTACGGGCCACTCGACTCTACGGACTCATCCGAAGGCAGAGCTGAGAGCGAGTGGCGAGTAGACAGAGGAGTGGCCTGAGGCGAGGAGTACGTGAAGCCGAAGCGCTGAAGGACCTGCTGCACCATGTGTGACTGAGTCAAGGTAATGGTGCGGCGTGCTCTGTCCCGAGTGATCTGCAAGCCAAGGTAGCTGCGCAGTTCACCCAGGTCTGTGCACGTGTGTCTCTTCTGCAGCTCGGACTTCACGTAGGCTAGTCCAGCAGTGTCAGCTGTGGCAAAGACCAAGTCGTCGACGTACACGAGGACGTAGAACGGCGGCAAAGAAGTGTCGGTGCGCAGAAACAACGACGGGTCAGCAGTAGAGGGAGCAAACCCAAGAGCCGCAAGCGTAGTCCTCAGTGTGTCGTGCCACTCACGCGGTGCCTGGCGGAGACCGTAGACTGGCCGTCGGAGGCTCCACTGGGTGCCAGGAGGAAAAGTCCCAGTGAAGCCAGGTGGACGGCGCAGCCAGATCTCCTCGTGCAGGCTACCCTGCAAGAAAGCAGTACTGAAGTCAAGAGAGTGGAGCTCGTAGTCGCGCTGAGCGGCTATGTGCAGCAGCACCCGAAGAGTGGTCATCTTCGGGGTGGGAGAGAAGGTCTGAAAGTAGTCAACTCCCTGCCGCTGACTGAAGCCACGAGCGACGTACCGCGCCTTGAAGACAGGTGGAGAGCCCGGCGGCCGCTTCACCCTGAAGATCCACATGCCACTGACGATGTTCGCCCCAGGAGGGGGAACCGCGTCAACGTAGGTGCCTGTGGACTTCCAGGACGCCATCTCTGCATCCATAGCTGCCTGCCACTGAGAGGAGTAGGGACCCTCTACGGCCTCCGCGTAAGAGCGCGGAGTCGGGATGTCTAGTGCATCCGGGTCTCCCTCAGGGGCAAGTAGTACGGACGCGAGATGAGGTGAAGCAGCAGCCAGACACCGGAACTCCTCCTGCCTGTCCTCAAGGACGTCCGTGCCAAGAGCACACTCACCCCCGACGGACGGAGGACAGACAGACGCAGACTCAGCAACAAGACCGGCAGCGTAGTCTAGACGACAGCGAGCAGCAAAGTCGACGAGCTCAGCAACAAGTGCAGACGCAGCAGTGGACTCAAAAGAGGGGTCAGTGACGACAGTAGCAAGGAGACGTGTGACAGCAGGACTGGCAGCACGAAGAGAGTCCGACTCCGGGTCAGGAAGAGCAGGAAGAGAGGACTCAGGAGGAGAAGGCAAAGGGGCACGCAGAGGAGCAGTGGACGGACGCAGAGACATCCGGTGCGTGCCAGGGACAGGAGGAGGACGCTGACGCGAACCACGACCACTAGTGCGAGCAGCACGGACAGGCGACGCAGGACGAGACGCAGGCTCACGACGCTCAGCAAGACCTCCAGTAGGACCAGTGTAGGGAGAAGGAGCGGGCAGTGGGGAGGCCGGCTGTAACTGGAACTGTGACAGGACAGGCTGTGGACACTCTAAGGGAGGAGGAGGACCAGTAGAAGGCGGGAGACCAAGAACCTGCTGAAGGAGCGGAACGAAGTACGGTCTAGGCCGCGCGGCGACTCCAGACACAGCAGGGACAGCACCAGTACCCCAAGCGGGAGCACCAGCGCCAGCAGCACCTCCAGCTCCAGGACCTCCAGCAGCACCAGTAGCACCCCCAGCAGGACCGCCTCCAGGACCGACAGCAGTAGCCTCAGCGCCAACACCCTCAGCAGCTCCAGCTCCAGCACCTCCGGGACCCGCGGCACCAGCACCCTCAGTAGCCGAAGAACCTCCAGCTCCAGCAGCACGCCTCCAGCGCCGGGCAAACCACTCGCGCAGCTCCTGTGGAGAGAGGGGCTCCCGCCGAGGCGAAGCACCCGGAGAACCGCCAGGTCCCGCACCGCCAGACGCCACAAGGGGAGGTCCAGTGGCCGCAGGCTCCGCAGCTCCAGGCTCAGCACCTCCAGACGCAGCACCCCCTGGCTCAGCACCCCCAGTAGCAGCACCCCACGGCTCAGCACCCCCAGACTCCGCACCCCCAGGCTCAGCACCCCCAGTCGCAGCACCCCCAGGCTCAGCACTCCCAGACTCCGCACCCCCAGGCTCAGCACCCCCAGTCGCAGTACCCCCAGGCTCAGCACCCCCAGACTCAGCACCCCCAGGCTCAGCACCCGCAGCAGGACCAGAGTCACCAGCAACCTCGACCGGCTCGACTGCGTCTACCTGGGACACACCTGAAGGGGCAGGACCCTGAGGGGGAAGGGGGTCTACCGGGGGGGGACCTGGCACAAGGAAGTGCGGTGGCGGGGGGAGGGAAGGAGTGCGGTAGGGGAAGAGGCGGTAGAAGGGGACTGACTCGTCGAACGTGACGTCCTGGGAGGACAGAACACGACGAGAGGAGGGGTGGTAGAACTGCCACCCTGGAGCGTCAGGGGGGAAGCCGAGGAAGACACAGGGAGCAGCACGAGGGGACAGCTTGTCCGCAGACAAGTCATGGACAAACGCCCGAGATCCCCAGACACGGAACGCAGACGCATCGCCGACCTTCCCCGTCCACAGCAGAGCTGGAGAGGTCTCCGGCCGGGAGACCCTGGGGTGAAGGTTGATCTGATGCGCCGCGTACCGAACCGCAAACGGCCACAGAAAATGGGGGGCAGCCGCATGCATCATGGACGTACGAGCGACGTCCATGACCATGCCAATGCGGCGCTCAGCAATCCCATTTTGCTGTGGAGAGTCCGGAAGCGTAAAGGTCTGGCGGATGCCTCGTGCACGACAGTAGGCTCGCAGAAGGCCAGAGGAGAACTCTCCACCTCGGTCAGAGTGCAGACGCAGAACAGGAAAGTCCGAGCCGAAGCTCCTCCTGAGCTGGAGACGAGCTGCGCGGATCCAGTCGATCAACACCTCAGTGACATCACCCTTGCTGCGCAAGGGGAAGACTGTGGTGTAACGCGAGTAGTCGTCAACCACCAGCAGGAAGTAGCGCTCGTGACCCTGCCCACGGACGCGGGCGGGGCCCCACACGTCCATGTGAAGCGTCTGCAGAGGAGCCTCTGTCGGGGGAAACTGGGAGGAGTGAGGGGCAGCCCGGAGCCGCCCCTCGACACAGGGGACACAAGAAGGTCCGGGTCCCGAAGGAAGGGGAGGGAGAGACCGGGGAAGACCAGAGACAAGGACACGGGAAGCCATGCCCCGAAGACGAAGCAAGGAGGGGTGGCCAAGACGGTGGTGCCACAGGAGAGTCTCGTGAGACAGGCGGCGACACGAGCAGGGGGCAGACTCAGGACCAGACCTGGACGCAGCAGCAAACACCTGACCCGACGCAGCTACCTGGCCAGACGCAGGGACAGGAGGAGACGCAGTGGTCAGTGTGTAGAGACTCGACCCTGGCCGACGCGAGAACGTGGCCAGGTGTCGGCCTGTGCGGGCATCCGAGCAGTGGGTCACCCGCTGACTCGCAGGAGTAAACTGGTGAACCCCCGCATCCTGCAGGTCAGCACCACTCACCAAGTTCGTCGAGAACGAGGGGAGGTACAGACCAGACAAGGTGCCCGAGGGGGCAGCCGGACACGGGAGGACAGTGGAGAAGTGAGAGAGGACAGGACCCCCAGAGGGGTCAGCCAGGGAGACTGCAACCGGCCGGCCAAGCGGCGTGAGTGTGGTGCGGTCTCGAAAGAAGGAGCGAGAAGCCCCTGAGTCAAGTGTGAAGGTGAGGGAGGCCGAAGCCGACGCAGTACCTGAGAGCGCAGCCTCACCAGTACCTGAGAGTGCAGACGCACTGGCACCTAGAGCAGCAGCCGCAGAAGTACCTGGCGCAGCAGTACCAATGCCCGGGTCGGGCGGGAAACACTGGTAACAGTCACCCTCCTCACTAATAGTCACAGCATACATGGCAGCAAGGATAGCATCAAAGTCAAGATCAAAGACAGCTACGCCAGCCCTAGACAGCTCTCCCCAACGGGGAATCTCACTGGCCTCGGGGAACTGCTGACGCCAAGCGTCCGTCAGGCGGCCAAAGCAGCGCTGAGTGGGGTGCGCACCCCCACACTGCTCACCCGCTCGGTCACCGGAACGAAGGACGTAGGTGCACGGACCAAAACCCCCACCCCGCTGACGCTGCGTGTACCACTCACGGAGCTGCTGGGGCGGGGGGATGTCCCGCGAACGCTGCTGCTGCTGCTGCTGCTGACGCTGGCCACCACCAGGGCCGCTACGCAGCGGGGCACCACCCCGACCAGCTCCACCCCCTCCGCCACCGCTGCCTCCACCTCCACCACCACCGCTGCCTCCGCTCCCACCGCTGCCGCCACCACCGCCTCCTCCTCCGCTGCTGCCACCGCCACCACCGCCCCCGCCACCACTCCCACCGCCACCCCCACTCCCTCCTCCGCCTCCACCGCCTCCTCCACCGCCCCCGCCAGCTCCACCCGCGCCCTTGCCCCCCTTGCCCCTGCCAGGGCGGCGTCTCCCGCTAGGGGCAGACGCCGCGCAGACCGACTCAAGACCAAGCAGGTCGGCAGCAGCAGCAGAGGCAACAGAGGGCAGCAGGGGGGAAGGAGAACACCCCTCAAAGATGGGGGTGCGAGGGTCACCACGAGAGGCTCCTACAGCGACGATGCTCTTCTCCGCCGCCAGGAGGGACTTCTCGAGGAGGTCGACAGTGAGAGTGGTGGGACAGACCGAGAGGTAGTGGTCCCTGACTACGCGAAGGGAGTCAGGGAGGCGTGTGACTATGTAATAGAGAGTGATGTACATGGGGGGGGGTTCTTGGCGCAGAACTCAGCAGGAAGGGCGGCGCGGTAGCGAGTGTCACTAGTGCGGAGGTGCGTAATGAGGTCAGCGACAGTGGGAAAGGCAGTAAGGTCAGGAAAGAGGTACGGTAGCATGAGGCGGCTCAGGGCAGCAGTGGCAGGGGAAGAGTAGCGCGCAACTACAGCGTCGTACAAGGTCTGAGCACTCTTGTACTGACTAAAGTGCGCGCGCTCAGTGGTAGGCAGGTGGCGACGCACAGCAAGACGTGCAGCAGCATCGCGGGTGGCCCACTGAGAGCGAACAGTGGGGTCAGCATCAGTAGCAGGGGCAGGAGAGGCGCCAGAGGTGAGGTCAAAGAGGGAAAGACCGTCCGCCCTATCGCACTGTAAGAACAGCTGCAGGTCGTCGACCCAGACCTCAAAGTCAATGGCTCGACCCTCAGCGTCAAAAGCGAGGACACTAGGGGTAGCCATGACGACGACAGACGAGCAGTGCAAGCAGTAGGGGAAGGGCACGCAGTGACAGTGGGGCTGTGCTCACCGGACAGGGCAGGTCGGGCGGCTCGGCAGTAGGGCGGCTCGGCTGCTCAGCGGCTCGGCGGCAGGGCGGCTCGGCTGCTGGGCGGCTCGGCTGTTGGGCGGCTCGGCGGCAGTGCGGCTCGGCTCCCGGGCGGCTCGGCGGCAGGGCGGCTCGGCTCCCGGGCGGCTCGGCTGCAGGGCGGCTCGGCTCCCGGGCGGCTCGGCGGCAGGGCGGCTTGGCTCCCGGCGGTTCTGCTGCTAGGCGGCTCCCGCAGGTAGGGCGGCGGTAGGGCCGCAGGTTGGGCGGCGGTAGGGCCGCAAGGAGGGCGGCGGGCGGGCCGCAGGTAGGGCGGCGGTAGGGCCGCAAGTAGGGCGGCGGGCGGGCCGCAGGGAGGGCGGCGGTAGGGCCGCAAGTAGGGCGGCGGGCGGGCCGCAGGTAGGGCGGCGGGCGGGCCGCAGGTAGGGCGGCGGGCGGGCCGCAGGTAGGGCGGCGGGCGGGCCGCAGGTAGGGTGGCGGGCGGGCCGCAGGTAGGGCGGCGGGCGGGCCGCAGGTAGGGTGGCGGGCGGGCCGCGACGTGAGGGCGGCGGGGCCGCTGTAGTGGGGCGGCGGGGCCGCTTAGCAGAGAGCGGCGGGGCCGCGTGAGCAGGGCGGCGGGGCCGCGTGAGCAGGGCGGCGGGGCCGCGAAGCAGAGGGCGGGCGGGCCGCGACGTGAGGGCGGCGGGGCCGCTGTAGCAGGGCGGCGGGGCCGCGTAGCAGAGGGCGGCGGGGCCGCGTGAGCAGGGCAGCGGGGCCGCGAAGCAGAGGGCGGCTGGGCCGCGCGAGCAGGGCGGCGGGGCCGCGAAGGAAGGGCGGCGGGGCCGCGTTAGTAGGGTGGCGGGGCCGCGAAGGGAGGGCGGCGGGGCCGCAAGGGGCGACACGGAGGGTCGCTAAAAAAAAGGAAAACGCGCCTCGGGGCGCGCTTCGGTGGGCCCTAGAAGCAGTCCCTAGGAGGGGACCTGCTCTGATTCCATGTGAAAATGAAGAACGAGAATGAGTGAACTATGAAATGAAGTGAGTACAAATAGGAAACCCTAATTGGGTTGTACCCCTTATGGGATACCCCACTATAGCCTACACAACAGCATAAGCTATATAATGTTCTGACAACTGCGGCCAAGTTAAAGCATCCATTATTTCCCACCAATGCGATTCGTGATCATCACGGAATGACGGCAATTATTTCGTTGGCCGACGCTCTGCACATCACCGACAAACAGCCGATCACGCAGCCTTTGATAGATTTTCATAACATGTGAGTGTCATACCGCGGACATGCTGTATCAGTTGCTGGAGTTGTGGGGCCATTATCACGATGGCCGGTCTTGTTGCCATACCCGTGTCTTCTGATTCTAACGCAAACGACTCCCTCTTGCTTTTGACCTATTTAATGGATGTCTAAACGCAGAGTGCTGAACATCCGCCGGCCCAAGTTGAGCAACGGCAAGACGTGGCTCGCGTTGGACAGTCGGAGTTACGACTACTTCTGCTCTCGAGGCAAGATAGCCAAAGGTGTCACGGGACCGTCGATCTTCAGCTACGACTATCTGGCCATGCCAATCTATGGCGGGTAAGTTGCAGTATCACGATTCGCTATTCTCTCCAACACTCTAATGTCTTCTGCCGTTGTAATGCCTAAGCAGTGACAAATATTGTGGATTAACGAACGATGCAGGTTTCATTTCAGTGTGATGATTGTCGTCAACCCTGGAGTTGTGGCTCTCCCGCTCGACGAGGACAGCACCACAGAGCCTGCGTGGTTGCTGCTGTACGACTCTTTCGGGATGCATGCTGTGGGGGGCAATGCTTTCAAGAACATGACCAAGTAAGCTTTTGTTAGGGGTTGCGTACGACCATTCCCACACAAGCACTCCAACCTAACTGTGCTAGCTTATGTCTCACTAAACCACACGCTAATCCGCCTTTTTTGCATCACAAATTCGACCGGGAGACAGCTTGCTTGGCATGGCCTTCGAGAAGGAGCATGGCAACCGCACGATAGAAGAGATGAAGGCGAGGCTTGGGCGCTTCAAGTCACAAGTCATGGAGGTGAGTTGACTAGAATAACGCTCGTCAACCATGCTACAAACTCCCGTTGTGAAATGATTCTACATGCCACCCCTTGTCAAATGATGATCGTGTACTCTATTGTTCTCATTTACGCTGCATGTGGCATTGGTGTTTTGCAGGCGTGGCAAATGCCTCTGCAGCAGAATGATTATGACTGCGGCATCTTCGTATGCCAGTACATTCAAGCGCTAGTGGAGGCATGCTTCGAAGGCGTTGAGCATGGGGTGCGGTTCAGCATGAGCCCACTGGCATACCGGCGTGTCATGCAGGAGGATGTGTGCGCCCTGGCAGAAGGACGGCTGATCGGCGAGCTCACGGCAGCTGGGCATGAGATCCCTCCTGGCAATGAGATTAGGAAACCACCTGAGCTTGAGGTGATTGGTGATGAGGTGGAGGATAGGGAGTGGAGAGCGGAGATGGCAGAGCGGATGCATAGGCTGGAGGTTCGCAATGAGAGTCAGGCAGTGGCTATTGCCAAGCTCGAGAGGCAACTGCGTGAGCTGATGCTGTCCCGTACTCCACAGCCGGGCATTGGCGGTGTCGATACAGGGGAGGGACATGGTGATGTGGGAGGGGACGCTGCAGGAGAGGGACATGTTGATGTGGGAGGGGACGCTACAGGGGAGGGACATGGGGATGCGGGAGGGGATGCTGTAGGGGAGGGACATGGGGATGTGGGAGGGAACAACGCTGGCACACATGACAGCATGAGAGGTGCACATGGCGAGGGTCCTGTGGCTGACGTTGAGACGGGTGTAGGTGGGAATAACAGTAAGCTTGAAAAAATGGAGATGATGATATGGCGGACGGTGCGAGGAGGGACAATGAGGAAGTGGGGGTGCGTGATGAAGGTGCCAAAGGCTTGTTGGGTACTACGGATGGTAACAGAGGTGCAAGAGAGGCCGTAGGTGCTGGGCATGGTGTGACAGCCTCGAACGCGGATGTGGATTTGGTGTCCGCCCACAGCACAGGGACTGAGACAACGAGTCGCAACACTGCGCGTGGTCGAGCTCCTAGCTCTGGTTATACTGGCGTAACCAAACGGGAAGGTAGGTGGGCGGCACGACTGTGCGTAGATAGCGCTAAGAGTAAGTTTTTAGTGCTTGGACGGTATACGGAGATCTTGGATGCCGCAAAAGCATATGCGGCAGCCGCCCACATTTGCCGACCGTCCCTCTCCAGCTCAACGATGGTGGAGTTGAGCGTGGAGGAGAGGCGGTGCTTGGAGGGACTGACGGCGCATGGGGTTGCAAGGATAGTGGAGGCCAAGCGGTGGGCAGAGTGGAGGAACTGGCGAGAAGTGCTCGGCAGCCTCCCTGAGCCTTCCATCCCAACGCCAGCAGGAGTACACACACAGGCTCCACCTCCCTTTTCCCACCAGCACCCTGGAGCCACGTTTGGCAACTACCACCCGCCAGCCGCCGCCTTCGCGGGACACGCCGGTGCAACCCTAAACCCTGGTGCATGGCAGCCGTACAATCAGAGCCACCCTCCTCCCAACCTCCATTTTCCATCCCAGCAGTTTGCTTTCAACCAAATCCCAAACCATCCATTCAGCCAGGTGCAAGCCCCTATCGCCGTACACCCAACCCCTTCAGTACCCATTGCTCCCAACCCTGCAGGCCATGCCGCTTCACAGAACACAGCACCCCATCCGCATGTCCTACCAACACCACCATCCGTTGCACCCAGCACGGCACATCCAGTATCTGACCCACAAGCCCAACAAGTCCGGCCCGCTGAGCAAACTGGACAGGTCAGGGTAGATGGCCTGACATATTCACAGTCGACTTCTCCCAACAATCCCAACCCAACGTCCCACGGCTCCGCACTGGCAAGCGAGCCAGCAACAGGTGAGATGTGTGGTTGTGTCATATTAGTGCTTATTCATATGCTGTAGTTTCACTAAACCATGCATTAATCTAATGAACTTGTTTGCTGAGCCTGTGCAGGGGCGGCGGACGACATCATCGATGCCTTTCTGCACAATAACTGATGAGACGTATGGTCAACATGACATTGCGTGCTCAGTACACATCAAATCTACGTAATATCATTGTAGGCATGCGTAGAGGTCGACATGCCTAGAGATACAATAAACCCTATGACTGCTAAATGAACGGAACGCACAGTGTTATATAGATACAATGGCAAAACGCCGGTAGTGAACGTCTCTCGATTTTATTAATATAGTTTTATATTAATAAAACAGATCGCACACACATTCGAGCACCACATATGCGCGCTCATATAGGTAAATGCGCGGTTTTATATGAGCGCGATCTTACATGACCGCGCCTGATTGGACGCGCAAGGTAAAAAAGTACTTCGCGCATAAAGTCGACCAATCAGACGCGCTCTGTAATTGGTCGCGCGTGTGGACAGTCGTGCAACTGAGTATATGATCGGGGATTCATATCTCTATGCGCGGATTGGTCAAGAATTGGACCGAAAATGAGCGCGACTGTTCGCCCAAGATGATCGTGTTGATTATTGTCGTGTATTCGAACGGTGACGTGGCCGCCCTCGCGCACGTCACCCAGCCGAAAATTTCGGGCGGAAAATCACACGCCACGTTTTTGCGGGAAGAGACACGAACGACGTAAGAAAAGCAGGGCTAAAAACCGGTTTTGGGTAATGTGCCGGATAAAAAAAAAGCCAGAGGAAAACTCCGGCAAGACCACTCGAGCAATTATCATCGAATTGTCCGACCACGGTAGCAATTCGAGGCCACGTGTGCAACGGCAAATCACCGTTTCCGGGTCTGGAGAAATTCTCTCAGGTCGACGGCTGCTGAATGGAGGAGGAGTGCCAGATGATCTTGATGAGAAGCTCCTCGGGAAGACTGTAGATGGGACAGCGATGCTCCATTTCCTAACGGGGAAAAGGCTGGTAAGATCTGACGCGAGGCGAGTATGTGGAAGCTACGAGAGCGAGCCGACGCGACGGGTAGGGCAAGCGGGATCAGCGCTGTATGGCTGTATCCAGTGGAACTTGGCATGAAACCTAAGCGGCGACAAGGGCCCTGTTCGATAGCACTTTGGGCCCCCACGATGCAAACATTTGGTTTGGCTCTGTCGCCCAAATGGTTCAGCGTCGCGACAAAATGCAAGTGGTAGGACAGCGCCGGCAGTGTAATCATTTTGGCCGACCCGAAGACGGCCGAGGTGGTCGAAAAGCTCCACCTCAACGGCCCTTTGAAGCGGACTGTTTCCAGCCGCGGGGTCTGCCTGGGGGTTCGACGGTCTACGTAAAAACAAAAGCCCCACCCAAATGTTTGTGCTGAAAATGTATAGAGTATTCCAGATCGGTTCCAGCATTAGTTAGGTGTGTCGAAAGGATTTGTGGTGCAACTGGTTTATACCTTTTGTTTGGCGCGACTATCCCTAAATAGCCCATTGGTCTGGCATTGGGGCCACTTATTTGAAAAGTAACATTGGCAATGGTCTGGTGATGGTCTGAAATTTTACCAGGGATGGGCTGTAATGATTAGACGACAGTCACTGTTACTGCGCGCTGTGGTGTCAAACCACCCCGTTAAAATTCCCGCCATGTTTTAGCAGCTGGGCGGGAAACCAAGGACATCGCAGGGGGGTCGTTCGCGCTGGCGGGAATTATGACTCGTCGCAGGGGGTCGCAAACCGTTTCCCGCCCAACCAACGAGGTCACCTCAAAGCGTTTCTGGCGGGGTTACCCTCGCTGTCGAACAGGGCCAAGGTAACTAGGCATTGAGGCGAGTTCTCAGCCTACGCAGGCGAGGCTTTGAGAGAGAAGCAGCATCAGAAACAGTCGAACACAAACGGCCGAAAGAGGCCATCCGTGATGAAGTCCAAGAACCGTCAAAAACCGTGTGAAAACTTACTGAACCGCGATTAGCGGACAAATGCTAACAAAGCTCCTGAAGCAGCTGTCTAGCAGTTATGGCAGAGCCGAACGTTGTAAATGAGTAGTGCGGTAAGTTGCAAAACGTTTCTTTCCGACAATAGAATGGTTGGGCAGGGTAGCAACGTATCTACTCAAACGAAGTCTGTCTCGCTTCACAGGTCTGGGAACTAGTTGTTAGTGGTTTGGAGGCACATCAGAAGCACCACCAAGGCTCGGCCCCTGCAAGGCGAGATGCGGTGTGGTTGGGAAAATCCACTACAGTATCGATCGAACGGTGCATACAACACACCCGTACAACAGCCCTGGCTAGGGTATGCCGCAATAGGCTTGCCAGCGCGATTGTGGCGAGCGTAGGCTCGATTCGAACCGTTGGGAATGCCTTGTTCCCGTCACCACCGCATTACAGTACTGTATCCCCAAGCCTCCCGAACCACACAGCATCCCCGAACATCCCTTCCCACACCCAATCACCCTTCTCTCCCCCTTTTTGTCCATTTCTCACTGCTCGCGAATCCATTTGTGAGGCTGGCGCCATCGCAGTCAGTGCAAATCTGGTAACACCGAGAGAACGAAACATGCCACGCCTTGGCGAGAGACACATTGTCAGCACAAAAGCTCATCTTGCAGCCAAGAGGAGAAGCTATAAACGCGTACCTAATCCGTACGCGATTTTCGTTCCGATTGCCCCCGTATGCGTGTTTGCTACTTGGATTTCCATTTTGTACAACCTCTTCTCCGATATTTCCACACCCTTTATCTTCACGACATGGGGTACCTACCCTCGAAAAAACCGATTTCGAAGGTAGTTAGCAACGCTCGAAGAATTTTCAGGGTTAATGTAACACAATCTCAATACGAGATTAACGCAGAAACAATCTGGCACTGGAATTTTCCCCGCTCACTCGAACTACAAAGTTCGAGTTTCGAAAAGCCTTGACCTGGTGGTTATTTTCTGATAGACCCGCAATGTCAGGGCGTCCGTCTCATCAAACCTTCAACCATGTAGGGTGTCTGGGAAGAATCAAAGTTCAGGGTGTGGAAATATCGAACAGGTGTAATATCAATCGATCAGCAAGGTTTTGTTTAGTCCGTTAGATCGTCCCTAATGGCGACGTCCATCGCCGTGCGACTCGCCCCACACGCGTCGCCGTCGCTCACATCGCAGTGCGCCGTATCCCGCCCGTCGCGTGTCCTCGCTTTCTCTTCCGGGCGATCGCTTGCCGTCCGATGCCGCCGCCAATCCCAGCAATCTGTTTCCTTGCGGCAACCAGGTCCGGCGTCTAGGCGGTCCGTGCGCGCAGCGGCGGAGGCGAAGGATGCGGAGGCTCAGTTGTCGGCGGAAGAGGCGCAGGACCTGAGCGATATTCAGGACATCCTCGAGGTGATTTGCGCTCGCTTAGGCAGTTCACGACATTCTCGACATTCGCAACATTCGCGACATTTTCGACACGTGCCATTTAGTGTTGCTGCGAGTGTGCCATTTATCGGCGAAGGTTGTGATTGCGAGTACAGGGTCGTACCTAAGGGAATTCAGTCGAAGCCTCCTCAGTGCCGCCCTCAGCTGAGCCACTCAGGCATCCAACCGCTTCCAACCGTTGTTATTCCTGTCCGCACCGAATGATCGCTCTTGCCACTTCAATCGTTCCGGTTTGTCGCATGCCTCGAGACTAACTCGCATCCGTTCCTGTGCCTGTGCATGTGTGCGTGTGCGTGCTGCGTGCTGCGTGCTCCGTGCTGCGTGCTCCGTGCTGTGTGCGGCGTGCGGTGTGCTGCGTGCGGCGTGCGGCGTGCGGTGCGGCAGACCATCGAGTTGCTCAAGGAGCGTCGCGACATGACGGTGCAGGAGGTGCGTTTTCAGACATGACGGTTCGTTTTCCGTGTCCACTAGGCGCACCCTAGTCTGTAGTTCGTACCCTGCGTCGCGACATGACGGTGCAGGAGGTGCGTTTATTAGCCTTGTGAGTTCGCCCATGAAGTAACGGAAAGTTAACTTCTGAGAATTCCTTAAAAGTCAATTCAACACAGGAGGTGCGTTTATTAGCCTTGTGAGTTCACCCATGAAGAAACGAAAGCTCCAGCAGCCGTCTAGAAGAGACTTTAGCTTTCGAGCATAAGTTTCGTACCCTGCGTCGCGAGAGGTGCGCGCGTGCTTTCACTACAAGCTCCATGTCGCCTCCTTTGTCTGTGTTTTGTTCGTCATTGTCCGTCAGTGCCCTCCGTCAGAGCCCGCCATTGTCCGTCAATTTCAGCCGCACGCTTCGCCCACCTCCCTGCTGTCCTCTTTTCGCTGCTCCCCCCCCTTCCCTCGCTCCCCTGCCGCACGCCATTTTCTGCATGCATGCCGCCCGCGCCAATGTGTCGTTACGCAGATCCGGCTGGTGCTGATGATCAAGGATCCTCCCTTCTGTCCCACCCCTCCCGTTTCGCTGCGCCCCACCCCTCTACGCCCCTGCCAATCCACTCACTGCGCGCCAATGCGCAGATCCGACTGGTGCTGATGATCGAGGACCCGTGCGACCCGCTGTCCTCGTTTCGTTCCACCCCACCCACCTGCCAATGTTCGTTGCTCCCCACCCCTCCCGTTCCCTGCAGATCCGGCTGGTGCTGATGATCGAGGACCCAATTCACTCACTTCCCTGCACAATTCACCTCACCTCACCCCACTCACCTCACTGCGCGCCAATGCGCAGATCCGGCTGGTGCTGATGATCGAGGACCCGCGTAAGGCGGAGCGGCGGCAGATGGGCATCGAGAACGAGAGCGACGAGAGGAGACGAGATCGCTGGCGCGTTCTTTGAGGTACAAGGGGAGGGGGAGAGGGGAGAGGTGGGGCGAGGGGACGAGGTGGGGGAGAGGACGGGGAGAGAGAGGGCTGGGAGAGGGTGTAGATAGTGGGGGGAGAGGTGGGGAAAGGGAGATTGGGGGGAGAAGGGGGAGGGAGAAGGGGGAGGGAGGAGGGGGGAGAGGGGGGAGGGAGAGGGGAGGGAGAGGGGGGGAGAGGGGGGAGAGGGGGGGGGAAATGGGGGGGGGAGAGGGGGGGAAGAGGGGGGGAGGGAGACGCTTTCCTCGAGGTGGGGCGGGTGTTGGGAATTGACGCGTGTCACGGCCGCATGGCACTGCGCCAGCTAGTTTTGAGGTATCTCGAAACGAAACCCACTTTTTACCCCCAGTGCCCTCACTGCCCTTTCTCCTCCCCCTCCATGCCTGGTTCCCACTCCCCACTACCCACTCGCCCTTCCCCGCTCCCCACTCCCCACTCCCCACTCCCCCGCCGCCCCTCCCCCCACTCCTCCCACTCCCACTCCCCCCTCCCCCCTCCCCGCTCCTCGCTCCCCGCTCCCCCCGCCCCCCCGCAGGTGTGTGTGAGGGCCAGGTACCAACCAACGGATCGCATGGTGCTCTGCAGGCTGTTTTGAGACGTCTCCCCCCCTCCCCTCCTCCATCTACTTCCCCCCTCCACCCCATCCCCCGATTCCCCCCCCCCTCCACCCCACCCCTCTTCCCCACCACACCCCCCCCCCCCAACACCTCCCCTCTCCCCCCCCTCCACATCCCACCCCTCTTCCGCCCCCTCGCCAGGGGTGTGAGGACCGTGTACCGGCAGACCGCCATGGTGCTGCGCATGCTGGCGCAGGACATGCGCGACTGGCCGCGCCTGCGGGTGAGCGATGTGGAGGGGGGGAGAAGGTTGGGGGAGGGAGGAAGGGGGAGGAGGGGAAGTGGGAGGAGGGGGAAATGGGGAGGAGGGGGAAATGGGGAGGAGGGGAAGTGAGAGGAGGGGAAAGAGGGGAAGTGGAAATTAGGGGGGGGGGGAGGGGTAAGGAGAGATGGCGCAGGACATGCGCGAGTGGCCGCGCCTACGATGAGCGAGGGCAGGGGACAAGCGGATTCGGCAAATGCTAAGATGCGATAAGGGGGTCAAAGGGTGATGGGGGGAATAAATAAGTTGACAAGGGTTCAGAAAGGTGAGATTTACGAAGCAACAAGTGGGGTTCCTTTGTCCTGTGTTACCCCTCTCCCCCACCTTTCTCTCCCACCTGCTTACCCCGCGCCTCTCCCTAACTTTCTCACTCCTCTCCCCCACCCCTGTCCCCAACCCCACACCCCTCTCCCATACGCCTCTCCTTCACCCCTCTCCCCCATAATCCGCATCTCTCCCCCCACCCGTCTCCCCTACGCCGCTCCCTCACCCCTCTCCCCCACCTTCTCCTCCATCCCTCTCCCCCACCCTTCTCTCCCCACCCCTCTCCCCCACCTCTCTCCCCCTCGTCCTGCCCCTGCCAGGAGGCAGTGGGATCTGGAGGTCAGCGCACACTCCGCTCCCCCACACCCTTCCCTTACGCCTCTCCCTGAACCCTCTCTCGTCCCGCCTCCACCCCCCCACCTCTCTCCCACTGCGCCCTCCCTTTGCCAGTCGGAGCCAGCCCCCGTGGAGGCAGAGGGATCAGCTAGAGGCCAGCGGAGGCGCTGTACGGACAGATCACGGACGTGGGGCTGTAGGTCGGCCAGCACAGCCCAACCGCCCTCACATCCCATCTTGCGTGAGTGGCATCTTGAGCGTGTGCCGCCATGTGCGCAGCGCAGGGGCCTGAGAGCGGTGAAGGAGCAGCCTGTCTAGCAAGGCACAGCCTGTGCTTGCAAGGACGGAGCAAGAGGGGGCGTGTGGCTGGGCAAGTAGGCACAGGACCTGCAGTGGTTGGGCCGGCTGCAACAGGCGGGCGGGTGTGAAGAGCAGGGTAGGCCCCATGGACGTGATAGTCCGAAGGGTGTGGTAAGGGCGGTGGCAGGCCCAGTGTGGAGATGAAGGGCTGGAAGGGTCGGCGGAGGTTTCTTAGCCGGTGAGACGGCTCATGGCTTTTCGGCTGAGAGGAAGCCCCCGAGGGCAATGGCCACGGGTGTGCATGCAAGTCCTGGACCAGCTAGATGCAGCCGCTGTGTGCGTGCAGCGGGGAGATGCCGCGCATGCCGGCAAGTTCCCGCCTCCAGCTGCCGGCTCCTCCCCGACTCCCCAGACGACACGTGTCTTGTGCCCCGCCTGCTCATACTTGTTGCTTAAATCTGCCGAGGCGTCACGTGTGCTGGTGAAGCCGCCTGTGGGTTCTGGTGCTGGTGAAGCCCTATGATTCGCCACTGGGCCTGACATATCTGTTGCCTGGCTCGACACCAGTGCAATTGACACTCTCATGTGTCGACCCTTTCAATGTCGAGGGGTATTTCCTTGATCTCGTCACCCCCTCACACCATCATCCCATCATCCCATCATCCTGACCTTGGTATGTACTATTTCGCCTCAAGGGGCATCCAAACCAATCCCTTGGCTTTCAACACTACTCCCCCCCTCCCTGCCCCCTTTCCTCCTTCCCGCCCAACCCCCTTCCCTCCAATCTTTGCTGCTTCCAGATTCAAGGTCCCTGGACTTGGCATGTAAGTATTTTTCGCCTCAAGGGCCATCATGCACACAACCATTATCCTGCTTCCAACACTCCCTCTTCCATCCTCCCTTCCCTTCCATTGCTGCTGCTACCAGATTCAAGGTCCCTGGGAGGGGCATCAGATCATGTCTTTGGAGTGAAGGGTGCTTTGTCTTTGCTTTTTCTTTTTTTGCGGATCCCTGCTGGTGTGGAAGATAGAAGAGAACATTTATGCATCATACGGGTAGTTTTGGCAATGAAAAGCTGGACCTACCGTAGCTGTGAAGTATGAATCAATTGCCATACAACAGCAGCTAGTGCACTTGATTTGATATGCTAATCCCGTGCTTGGAATGCAGGGATGCAGGGGAGGAGAGACGAAGCACGACATGATCCATCCCCACATGTCGAGAGCTCAGGGGAGGGGCCTACAGGAGCGGGAAGAGTGGGAGAGGGATAAGGGGAGGGCGTGGTGGGGGTGACAGCGATGGCGAGTCAGGAAAGGAGGGAGAGCAGCATGAGAGGCAAGCGAGAGAGGCCGGTGAGAGTGGTGAGGGCGAGACGGCAGGAGATGGTTGCTACTGGGTGCACTATGCACACCTAATGGGTGACTGGAGGGTTTTGGAATGAGGGGATAGCAGGAGAGGAGAGGTTGAGCAGCATGTGCAGGCAGCAGAGAAGCAGGTGAGGAAGAGGCGAGGAGTGATGTGGAACGGGGAGTGTCAGTGCTGCTTCATCCCTCATTGGCACCTTGGAGAACTCAGCCATACAGCATTCATCCAGGAATTTACCAAACCTGCCACAGACCCAAAGCAGGCCACATCCCTCACAGCACGCACCTCCTTCTCCCACTAACTCGTCCTCATGTTCCACGAGGAATCAAACTGCCTCGCTTCCACTAACCTGCTGCTAACCCCTATTCAGCCCACTTCTCTCTCACCACGAACCTCCTTTGTCCTCTGCTCGTCCTCATGGACGCAAGCCCCGCCCAGCCTCGCCTCACCCCGAATCTACTAGTCAGGGTGGGGGGAGGGAGAGGGTATGAGGATGGGAGGCGGGAAGTTAGTGCTTTATAAACAGTGCGTCGTGCTTTGGGGGGCGAGCCTGTGTAGTGGGGCAGACGTAGGTGTAAGAGAAGCAGGTGGAGACCTGAGAGGTGTGAAGGGAGGGGGGGGAAGAAAGAGGACAAAGGACAGTGGCTTACGAGAGGGACGTGGAAGACACTGCAGGAGTGGTGTGGAGTCTGTATAGGAGAAGCAGGTGCAGAGATAGGTGGGGAGGGATGCGGAGTGCCATCGAGGTATGAGTATGTGAGTTTGTATAGCAGAGGCAGGTGTGGAACTGGGGAGGGATGGGGAGGAGGAGGAAAGTGGTTAAGGGAAATGGGAGAAGGAAGGGGCAGAGTTAGTGAATTGGTGAGTAATGTGCCCCTGCTATAGGAAAATTTATCAGGGAGACACCAGGCATTAATGTACGATCCACACATGCGAGGCTGGATGGATGGGATGGAAGGAGGTTTATAATAGGAGCTGGGAGGGAAGAAAGAACCTGGATTCGGGAGGGGAAAGGGGGTAATTGCAGGCAGAATGGGAGGGGAACATAGCTCATCTTGGCTGGAACCACCTTCTCAACTCACCTGGTATGCCCATCAGCTTTCTCCGCTCACTCTCGCATTCATTTCACAAGCACTTACAGCAACTCCCACTCTGGCGACATCCAACTAGCTAGTCAGCTGCCCCTTTCCACCATCCACGACGGTAATTCCTTCCTCGAGTGACTCGGGTGATTCCTACACGCATCCCCAACGCCCCACACTGGCTCTCACCTTCGCCATATCCAACCTGTCAACTAGCATTATGCTGAGCTGATGGTTGTGCACTTTGGTGATGGCTCTGACCTGATGGTGACGGACGATTGTGCACTGTGGCCTGCACAATGCTTGCATGCATTGACAAGCCTGCTACCTACATCCCCCCCCTCATCCCTCTCCAATCAGCCACTGTCGGCATGTGGAGGTGTCTCATATTCATTCACACATCTGCCCTCCCCTCTCCCCAGCACATGTACTGCACTGGCGGTTCCTCCATCCATACCACCGCCATGCGCACCACTCACCCCCATGCAATGCCTCTTGCGCTGCCACTGCCTCCATCCAGCCCACCGCTAGTGGGTGGGCAGCGCAAGAGGCAGTGCATGGGGGCAAGTGGGCAATGGGATGTCTAGTTGACCTTTTTCATCTTCGTCTCTCCCCCTTGTCTTTTTCCTCGTGTATTCCCCTCTTTCGCCCCAGCTTTTGTTGTTTCAGTCACGACCTGTGTTGTACGAACCTCCATATCTTCTTTCTCACTCCTATACTTCCCCATTGCTAAGCCACATACCTCCCTCCATTGCTCACCTCTCTGCTTCTCCCCCATTCTCCCCTTATAACCAGCAATCAGCAGTCAGCGCAGAGCAATCCGCATGACCAGCCCTTGCAGCATCGATACACATCTAACTGTCACTGTGCACGAAAGCAATCCCCCCACACACCCAATCCCCAGCCACTTCCCTCCTTTCCCCCCACAAGTACCCCCACCTGCAACTCAGCTTCTCTTTTGCTCCCTTGCCAGGCAATCTCTTTTCCAGCCACCCCTCTCCCCTCCCCTCCTACCCCCCTACCTTCCCCATCCAATCCCTTTCCAAATCTCCCCACACCCACCTAGTCCCCCCAGGGAGGCCTATTCGCCCTCCAAGCTACACGTCATCCAAGTACGTGGCGACACTAAAGGTCAACGCACCAATGTCAATGCCACACTCCCATCTCCCGTGGCCTGGACCTTCCCCTCTCCCGCCTCCTGCACCCCCCCCCTTCCCCCCCACGCCTCTCCCCCCCAAATCCCTTTTCCGCTCTCCTGCCTTCGTCCCTCTTCACTCTCCCCCTCCCCCCCCTTCCCCCCCCCCCCCCCCGCATGGAGGCCCAGTGACGGCCAGCCAGCAGCAGCGCATCTGCCTCGCCAGCTAACTCCCCACTTCGTGCCCTCCTACTTCTCAGACTCCCCCATATACTTCCACCAACCTGGAAACCATAACCCTCCCTTTTCACAGCTCCTGCCTTTCCTCCCCCTCCCACTTCCCCCCTCCTCCCCCCTCCCTTCTCTCTTCCTTCTCTACCTCGCAAATCCTTCTTGTCCTTCTTCCCGCCGTTCTCCCCCAATTCCCTCCCCCACTCCTCTCACCGCCTCCTCTATCCCTCTCCCTCCCCTCCTCGTCCCCCCCCTTCTTTTTCCCCCCTCGCCTCCTCTCTTCCGCTCCTCTCCCCCGCCCCCCTTCCACACCCCACTCCCACTCCGTCCCATACCTCAGCAGTACTCCACCGCCACTTGCCACACCGCGCCAAACAAATGGACCTGAAAGAATGGAGGTACCAACCATGGTAGAATTGACAGGAGGAGAGAGGCATGGAATGGAAGGAAGGCGTTGTGGAAGGTGCACGGAAAGGAGGGGTGGAAGGGTTACATGAAATGAGAAAGAGACAGAAGTAGACTAGGGGATGAATTAAATACAGACACGGTGAAACAGAGGAAGGTTGTGGGGCGGAGGGTGGAGGGCGGAAACAGCACATGCACATGTCTTCATACCTCAGCACTCCACTGCTACTTGCCACACCGCGTCGAACTTGGGGAAAGAAAAGGAGGGGTGGAACTTGGAAGGGTTAGAGGAAACGGGAAAGAGTGTGGCATTAGACAAGTGGATGAATCTTAACACAGATGGAGTGAGCTAGAGGAGGATGGGGGGAAGGCGAGGGGAAGGGAGGAAGGAAGGGGGATAAGGGGGTCAGAGAAATGGAATTTGTTGATGAATATGAGGCACATGGGCACAGTACCACCATGGGGAATTGAAGGTTGACCTTGGGCCGCGAACAAATTGTTCAACCTTAGTAAGGTTGACCTTTGGGTGGTGGGAGAAGAAGTTGACTTGTTGGGAGTTGGGCTGTTTCCTTTCGCCCAGTTTCGCGCTAGACCCTTGGGGTTTTCGTTGACACGGCAAACCCCTGGGAGCAACCTGGGTTTGCTTCGAGAGTCCCAAATTGCAATCAACATATTGTTGTTCCCTGCTCTCCCATTCGACAAAAAATATCTGGCCAATCAGATTGCATCTCACTTCTCGTAACCACCCTTCGCAACCCAAACAGCACTCAAAACATCACCCCCGTCAACCTTAGTAAGCTTGGCCAGCGCGCCCCGCAATTTGGGCCGCGAGCTTTAATGGTCATGGGTGCAGGCCGAAGTGTGAACTTTGAATCCGGGCTCTAAAGTGTTGTGTACTTACTAATCTAAACAACATCCTAGACAAGAAAATCACATACTTTTCACTAACCACTCCAGTCAACCTGTATGTCACAACTTCCAACTACAACTACAGCTGCACTTCCTACTGCATTTCTACTCTGCTGACTTCGACACTATACACACACTAGATTGGATGGAAATCGAGTGAAAAAAAAAAAAAAAAAATCCTCCACCTGGCGCCCTATCGTGCAACTTTCATGGAAAGGGGGGGGTCAAGGGGAGGGGGGTGTTCCGCAAGATTTGGGGGGGGGGGGGGGGGGGGTCTGCGGAATTGAAAGTAGAACTTAGATGCAGGGGACGGCCCAGATTGAGCACTTAACGCGTCCGGGGAAGGGTCAAACGATGCCCTTAACTGGCACGGGTGCCAGTCGAATCAAACCCTTAAAATGGTCGAACTACTCCAAACATAACCCGGAATGTTCAGGGCATTAAGGGCAAATGCCCTTGAATCGACAGCCCTGCATCCCACGCCACCATCTAGACTCGAGTCACCTTGAAATTCGCGAAGACAGGGTAACTTGATGATGCCATCCCATTTGTCGAGATACACATTATACGGCTGAATGGGATCGCAATTCGCGAATTTGACTCCCTCAGCGATGTTGCCCTGTCACAGCCACGTAGAAATTTTCGAACCAATCTTGGCAACCGTCTTCCTCAACTTCAACTCCCACCCTCAGGACGCGGCACCTGTTTTCAATTTACAAGGATCGTGGCCTCACATCGATCCTGGCATATCGATCGGCACACCGATGTGCCCACATTGCAAATTTGCAGTGGGGTAGACACATCGAGCTATAGGTGCCAGGATCGAAATTGCAAGCTCGGGCAGGTTGGAGCTGCCATTACACTTAAACGCGCAGCCAATCAGGGCAGAGCGTGGATGGTCGTCCAGCAATTCCATTCGCAGCGACTCAAGAATTTTTGGCCTGCGACCGTGGGCGACGCCGATCGATCGAGGCTGTCACCTGTGGCGCGATATGCTCTCCCGCCAACCCTAACGCATGCACCACGGCACATCGATCGTGCGAGCTGCAGGTGCCACCAATTTGGGTACCCGTTTACTGTACATTCTCGATGTGCATCGAAAAACAGATACCAGGCATTGGCGATGTCGCCAATACACTGTACAAGCGGCACATCGATCCCCTCCCACGATCGATCCTGGCAAAATGAAAAGAGGTGCCGCGTCCTCACCTCCCCAATCTTTTCTTGTTTTTCCAGAGAATCTGCTTCCTCTCCTTAGATTCCTCATTACTACTAGTTGACGTCGTGTGCACTCCTGGTAACAGTAGATTTATGTTTAACCGGCTACGGATATTCACGCGCTTCTATTGAACATCACAGCTACTACCACCCTGCTTGGGTTTCCTCAGGAAGCTCGTCACACCATGGCAATGGAGGGCACGAGACGCATACCTCTGCTCATCTCCTTCATCTTTCTGACGTGTCTCGCCGTGGTTTCTCCAGTCTGATGTGTTCCGTTTGCCGCCTCTCAAGGTTCGTCCTACATCTGCAAAAGTGGACTGCTCCAAATCCCACACTATTTTTTTGTATCTGGCGAGTTACCACGTGAAACATGGCTACGCCACTTGGCGCCTTAGCGAAGATAAATAAGAGATAATAGGATTTCAGCGGGAGGAATAGGAAACGCCTAGATCTTGTTCAGGCAGATGCGGGTTGCAGGGTTGGTTTAGGGATGCGAATTCGAAACCTGTTGCTCGCAGTCCCTTCACTCAAGAATCAATGAAGACAAGAAAATAACGAGCACAACGAAGACAGGAAAATAATAACAGGAAACAAGACTGCCTTGAAACTAAGTTAGCACCTAGGGGTTATGGGTCACTACCTATTTCCTGCTTGTAGCAGGCAAAGACCCCATTAAAAAAAACCATGCATACTATTGCATGGTGACTTCCGTCCTGTTATACCGGGACAGGGACTGTTGTAAGTTTCATGTCATATTCAGTCGGAAATAGAAGTTTCATGTTTACTCAGAACTACTAGTCGCAGTGAATCAAAGTGGAATTTTTCATCTCCCGTCCCCTCCCCCACTTCCTCCTTTCATCCTTCTCTTAGGATCGTAAACGCCTTAGTCGGCAATAGTCTACTTGCTAATGCTTATCGTGTTCTCCACGATCTCACGAATCCAACGGTATACGCAGCTCTGCTTGAAGTTGTCAATACACACTTCAGCAATTTTCAGAATCTGATTGGTTTCAATGCTGTCAATGTTGTGATTTCCAGAATGAGTACAAGCAGTTTTATAGTCAACCAAGGTACAAAATGCGATTTGTAACTTCACTTGATTCCTAAGTAACCGCGTGCGGCTCGTTTCACCCCGAGTCGCACACGAAAACCGCATCGAATGCACCGAACATTCCTCAAGTCCGAATCCCGAACTTTCTCGAACACGCCTCAAGCTCGAACCACAATTTCCCCTCGTCAACTTCAATCTAGATACTTCCCCTTCTCTCTGCCTCCTTCTAGCACATTGCTTTCCGATCTCTCTCCCGCTTCTCACGGCGTAGCTTCCAAGCTCCGTCGTAGGCCGATTTCCACCGCATTCACTCTAGAATGTCCTACGCGCTTCCATTCCACCGTCATTCCGCATTTCGCCGTAGGTTCCGTGGTTGTGCGAACCAACCCTAACAATCTTCCCTGTGGTTCGTCAACCACGAACTCCACCCGCACTCCTCCCCTCCTCCTTGCAGCCTTCACAGGGTCTAAGTCGGCTTCACGCTCCCCTGCTGCTCCTGCACCCTGAACCTCTGCTTACGTGTCTTGTAGTTGAGCGTCTTAACGTCCAAACCTTGAGATATTTTCTTCTGCCTCTCGCTTCTCCTCGGCATCTCAACACCCAACACCTCTCGAGTCTCGTACCCCTCAATGTATTCCTCTTTCGTAAGCATTCGCCCCTTTGCAGTTGCATTCGCCTTTGATCCTTTCACCATGATGTCCCCTTTCACAACTTCAACTCCCACACACTTTGCATTTACTGCTTCATCAACTACGATCGCTGCTGCAAAGGTGTTGACACCAACTCCACCGCCACCGTTCACTGCCGCTGCCTCCGTGGTGACTATCACCTCTGCCTGCTTCACTTCTGCCTCCACACTCGCTACCGTATTATCCGTATCCTCACTCTTTTCGACCTCATTCGATAGCTCCTTCAATTCTCCCATCTCAGTATACTCAGGATCCTCATATGTCATCCTTATCGCTCATCGCGACCAAATTCATCTCATAGAACCCGTCACTGAAGTAACCATCAGCATATTTCTCCCACTCAGGACCAAACACAGTAACCTTGCCACTGTCATAAAATATCTTGCACCCCAAGCCATCAAGCTGTGACTGACTGACCAAATTCACCTTCAAATTCTCAACCAGCAGCACGTTCTCAAGTTTCACCTCTCCATACGGACTCTGCAGCACCACGTCACCCTCTCCTGTCACTGGTAACTTCCCTTCCCACTGTTACCTTGCAGTATATAACGCTCACTCGACTCCTCACATTCTCCATCCAATCTGACCTGAATGTCATGTGACGCGTGCATCCGCTGTCCATGAACCACGCCCTCTTCTCACGTCCATCTGTCTTAGCCTCCTTCGGTAAACGCACCACGTTCGCGAGATGCGCTCTTCCCAATATCACATCCTCCTTTTCCGCTTCCGCTATATTCGCCTTTCCCGCCACATTTCTCTGCTGCTGCGACGGACCCTTGTAGCTCCTACTATTTGGATTGGAGTAGCATTTTGCAGCACGATGCCCGTAGCGCCCACAATAATCACACTTGCCTCCAAAACCTCGTTTCTACTGCCACTCCGTTCCCCCATTCTCCACTTTCTCGTTCTCCACCGCATTGCCCTTGTAGTTTCTGCTTCGCGGATTTTCGTAGCAGTTTATCGCCTTATGACCGCGCTTTCCACACTGGTAGCACGCTCCAAACACCTTCATTGCATTCACCAAAGCCGGCCTCTCCTCGTCAAATTCCTTAGCTGCTGCTGCCGCTTTCTTCTTTCTCATCTCCTTAACCGGCTCAAGCGACTGTAGAATCT